CGTGGACGAGCAGGAGACGCCGCTGCCGCGCTCCTGGAGCCCCAAGGACAAATTTAGCTACATCGGCCTCTCGCAGAACAACCTGCGCGTGCACTACAAAGGTGAGGGCCGGGGCGGGCCGAACCGAACCGGCCTGGGGCGACAATGACCGGAGACACCCTCCTCCTCCCCCCATCCTTTATTTGTGTGGTTTCTGCACCCTGAATACTGTGCAGTATGGAGGAGGGTCTTGCTTTTTATTTATTTTTCCTGTTTCCCTTCTTTCTGTATTTCTTTTCTGCCTTTTCTCCCCCTTTCCGTCGTGGGGCCTGGCAGGGAGGGGGCGAGCAAAGGGCCGCCCCCGCCTCCCTCGCCCTCCGGAGGGGCCTTATGTAAAACTCGCCGGGGGCTCAGGGACCGCCGGAAGGTTTGGGAATAACCGGGAGGATAAAGGAGAGCCACGGTGACGTGTCCTGCCTATGGTAATGAGCGAGAAAACATGCTTTTCTTCCTTTTTTGTTTTATTTTTTCATTTTTTCATTTTTTTTTCCTCTTCCTCATCTCGGGAGCAGCAAGGGGTTAACCGGAGTGAAGAGCAGCAAGCGCTAAGCTATTAAACGCGGAAATGACGGGGAGGGGAAAGCACAGAGAAAAACAGGGTTTATTTTTAAACTGCGTGTGAAAAATGGAATTAGAGTCGCGGGCCCCACCGGGGCTTTGTAGGGGCCGCAGAGCCACCCGGGGGGGCAGTGACAATGGGGCCGCTCCATAGTGAAGGTTATGGGTTTTCTAAGAAAAATAAATAAAAATAGAAATATGTGTGCGCATCAATCGGTGGGCGGTAGTGGCGGAGAAACTTAAGTGTCGATTGTTATGAAATGCCATAAAACCTGGAAGCGCGGCGCGTACACTCTGACCTGGAAAAACACAGGCACATCTGGTGCTCTAGGCCCGAGTCCTGGAGCAGCAAGCGTGCTGGATTCGAAACCCCTTCCGAGTTGGCCGTGAAGACCTGGATCTTTTGTGAGCCTGTAGCCGAGTGAGCCTAACGGGAGAGGGGGAGGAAAACAGCCCCGCAATTGGCCTTTCTCAGAGTTTGCGGCAGTGAAATTCAAGTGAAATCTCGATAAACACGTTACTGTTTAATCATAGGAGGAAAATGGCAACACAAACACATGGTAGGATTTGGCTGCCATGAAAGGATTAAATGTACTCTCTGAGACTTTTTTTTTTTTTTTTTTATCAGTGAGGCTTTACTGTTACTTACAAAACACTCTGTTAAAAATGCCAAGTTTAATGCACCATACAAAGCTATAATACATTTGGAGGCTGGTCACTAGCTATAGAGCTGTTTTTGGGGAGACATTGAGTGACTTAAGGACATGCTATTTAATACTCAACTTTGAATTTCCTAGCTTTTGTTCAGTGTTTTATGACCTTGTATTTTTAGAAGGATTCTGTGTTTTCTGGTGCTTAGGGGCTGCAGTGTTTTTCACAGCATGAGCACAGTGCTATGGCCACCAAGCCCTTCTGCTCATTTGTTTTCCTCTCCTTACTTTTATTGCTCATAAGCTAAGCCTTAGACATGGATCCTCTCTGGTCTGTCACTATAATTGTAGAAATATATTTTCAAGCATTCTTGGCGCCATTTCTTGCTTTCCTCTCTCTATTTTTTTGCCTAAGTGTTTTTTTTTTAATAATTAGCATTTCAAAGTAATTACAGTAGGCTCCACATGTTCCTGAAATATTGGTAGCATTCTGGATATTAGACCAGAAGTCATAAAAAACAGGTGGTAGATTATGATAATTAAATACCTGTACTTAGTGGTTAGGTAGTAGTGTGAGGTGGAGGTGGAACGGTTCCTAGACTAGTCCAGAGTGATGTGAAAAGGAAAGGTGCCAATATAATATGTATGCGCTTAATCCTAACTGCAAACAGAGTGAGTGGCTTCTTTAGGGACCCATCTTTTCTCCCTGGCAATTTACAGAAGTTGGCTCTTAGAGCTGTCCAGGTACCAGCCTGCACTGGAATTGCTAATTGGCCTAAGCAGTGAGTCATATCAGGGCATCCCTATCTAGGAGACCTGGGGAAGAGGCACCAAAACATCTGCTGCCTCTCCCCTCCCAGATCCCTCAGCCAAAGAATAAGGTAACAGGGAAGGAAATTAAGAAGTTGAGTGAGGGGAATGGGGAAGACTGCATGAAGTCATGTGAAGCGTGCTCTCTACAAGTTGGTTGCAAGAAGAGGCCTTGAAGGAAGGTATCAAAAACAGAGGCCTATGGGATACGGGCACTTTCTGCACTTTTGAAGCAATGGTGAAAGAGCAGAAGATGTTTTTGTTAGGAGAAAGTTTGAATCGAACCTTGAGCTTGGATAAAGACCTGTTGTATTCTGGACAAAAATAGTCAGGGAAGGAGGAAAAGACAGATTTATCCAAAGCCTACAATCAAAAGCAGGTTTCCTGTATTGTCTGTTACCTTAGTATAGAGGTACCTGTACCCGTATTCAGGCTTTGTCTGTTGCCTCAGTCACTTTCTGACTGGAAAACTCCTTTTTTTTTTTTTTTTCTGGAGTATTTTCTTATCTGTGACTAACAGGAAGCACTTTTTCTGGTAATATGAGTGTGTTTTTCCCCACCTGGAATGTGTTGGGGAAAGTTGCCTTTGAAAAGATTAGGAAAATGGGGAAAGAGAGAAAAAAAAAACTTTAAAAGTAATTTTCCTCATATCACTTAAATTTTAATGTGCTCACTTACTGTGAACAACCATACTTTTGTTTTGTTGATGTGTGAGAGAAAGAATGGTCATCTCTGAAACTTTGGAGAGTCCTTTAGTTTTCTTTTTATGTACTAGTGAACAATGTATATGGAGATGCAGGCTGCATTAAATGTCTCCAGTCACTGCAGCTGTGCTGCTCTCTGCTGCATTTCTGGACCTGAAGCTTTTTGCAGGCATCTCAGAGTGGTTAAAAATCCAAACTGCCCGAAAACCAGACTGATTTAAAGGTCAAGGTATAGAGAAGGGTATGCGGTTCATGTCAGAACAACAGCTCTTTACATGTTATGGGGATGAAGAAAACAGTAGGGTCATATTATTCTGTCATTATCTATCAAAATCATAATGCTGTTTAAAAAAAAAAAAAAAAACACGTAAGACTGTTACGTTGTCTACCGGAACAAGCACAATTTCTTTGAGTGTTAACACTGCTTCTGCTGCGCTTCTGCAAATGCCTATTCTTGATTATGAAGCTTTGACAAAATCTGGATATGGAGTGCATATGCAGTGGCATAGGTGATACTTTAATATAGGAAATACCATACCAATAAGTACCTTATTATTTTAGAGATGGATGAATGCACATTTCTGTATTGCTACCAGTTGGGGTATATTTATGTGATGCAGAAATGAAAAACAATATAAAAAACAAAATTTGTGTTGTTTCATGTAATTATAATATTAACCATTCTAAGTTGGAGGTAAGCGATGAAGAAAGCATAAAGTTCTGGCCAGTGTATCTATATATAAAGCAGTCACCACACAATGTATAACTATTATGGTAAGATACCTTCAAGCATGTCTTTAAAGACATTTGTCTTCAATAGTTCAAATGTCCTTTTTGGACATTCATAATTAATGCCTGAATCTTGTGGAAGAACAATGAATTCATAAATGATGTATGTAATGTGAATTTTCCAGCAGATAAAAGTTACATTTCCATCAGGTACTATCTATACTATGCTGTATAAAGAGATAACATAGAGTTAACAGAGGATTTAGCCATGAGAGAAAACACATACAAAACTGTGTAAACAGACTAAATCTTTGGTGATAAAATCATGGAAAGTCCTATACTAATTTCACTTAAGTCAGTCTTGTGACAATTGTCCAAAAAGATTGATAAAAGTTATGCAATTTTGAGTAAGCTGCCATTGCTCAAATATTTCTAATGTATTACAGGCCAAGCAATCTTAGCCAAACATTTACATTTACAATACAGTTGCCTTGGAACTGTTTTAGTGCCAAACTTAATAAATACAAAAAAAAATTTTTTTAAGGAAAACTTTGATTTCCCCCCTCCCCCTCGCAGTATAAGCTGTGCTTCTTAATTACTGTAATAAAAGAATTCTGTAATACTAATTGTGTAATGTCATGCGGTGATACAAGGTCAATGTAGATTCTTCTGGCAGAAAGGCACACTTGAAGTACAGTGAGTACTTGGTGTAAGATACAGCACCGTGCATCTGTTCTGGACACCTTGGTAGCTGTGAGATGTCCTGCTTTAAGATGAGGGGAAAAGTTGAGGTGAAATCAGATGTACACGGTCTTACTCTTTTTCTCAGTGTAAGCTTTCCTTATGATTCCAACAAAAGATGAGGTTCTGATTATGTTGTTTCTGCCAATGTTAGCAAATGATTGAACCACCTGTTGGAAGTAACTGCAGTTCAGCTTATGTAAACTTCATTTAAGGATTTAAACTGTACAAACACGTTCACCTTTGTTCAGGTGGACACTCCCAAATTCTGTTGGGCTGTTCAGTGCATATTCATAATGTGCTTGGACTTAGGTTCAAAGATCAGAATCTTGAAAGCTGAAATGGCTTCTCCAAAGAAGTGTTTTTCTCTGAAGTGGCATTTTCAAGGAGATGGGATTTAGTTTATTCTCAATTTAATTCTACTAAAGGTCTGATTATGCTATCTTTAGTAAAAATAATCAGTGTGAACGATGAGCTTCTTCAAAAGAAAACAGCTTTTCTTTCATGAAGTATGTTAGACTTGATGCTGCACTTCCCTAATGCCTTGACATATGTCTGCTGGGGTCTCAGTGTTAAAAATAACTGTTTTTTAGTGTTAAATAATACTTGCTTTAAAAATACTCTTCTAGGCTTTAACTATAGCTTACAACCATAAGAGAACTCTGTTTTAGGTAACCTAGGGAGGGCAGCATCTATATAATTTCTTTCAGGCGTTTGGATGCTCCAGCTCAGAGGGTCTGTGTCATGCCTGAGGTCCCTTTTAATCAAAAGCGAAGAAGAGGGGATTCAGATTACCAAAGGACATGGCAGTGGCATATAATGTCAAAGTAAAAGGCCACCCAGCTCAGTACCTGATCAGTGGCAGAGGCCACAAGTGAGTGTCAAAGGAAAAAAATCCAAACATGGCAACCGTAGAGGAGATCTGTGTTTCCGTCTGTTTCCAGCCATTTTAAGCTGAAAAACATTCAGAGTCGAATGCAGTTTCTTGGTTAATTTCAACTCTAGAAGCTTGTCCCTTGTGGACTTAAAATAACCATAGTACAAATAAAGACCATAATATCCTTCTGTAAGGAATTTTGCAGCTCAGCTACCTGCTCTGCCAAGGGCCTCTCTCTTGTTTTAAAGCCAGCTAGTGACCATCTTCTTTTGATAACTTGTGCAGTATAACATAGCTTGGTAATACTGAATTGTGTTGGAACATTTCAGAGGTATTTTGAGTATTTGAAAGAAAGAAACTTCTTGATGGCATTGAATTTGTTCTCAGCCATAGTATCTGCAACCAAATAAGCTGCATACACTAATAGTAAAATGCAATTCATAGGAGAAGCATTAAAGGGAGAGCAGACTAAATTTAGTGTTTCTTCTGGTTTAATGGGATGAAAGTAGCTTTGGGCACTGACTTCCCCCAGTGCATTGCTTCACCACATGAAGTGTTTGGCAACCCTGGTGAGGTATCCTGTTACTTCTGTCCCCATGTCGACCTCTTATTTGCAGTGTGACAGCTGTGTGTGGCTGGGCTGTCAACTGGATCAGGGAACTGATCTGCTGCTTAAAAGAATCTGGTAGGTTTCTTAAAGCCAGATCAGTTAAATCAATCTGGTTCATGGTGTGTCCATGGAAGTAGCTGCCTGGATTTTGGCAGGGGAGAGCAAGGGGAATAGTTTCAAGAAGAGGAAGATGTGCTAAGAATACCTTAAATTGGTATGGCTGCTGGCCACCTACATTGTAATTTCACAAGGCAAAGTCCCCTTGCTAAAGCTGTACGTTTTCAATAATACATGGCTAGTTCCTGATGGTTTGGTCTTCGCTGTGGAAGACTTGACCAAATAAGGAAACTGACTCGAAGCGAAACTATGCAGATTTTTCAAGTGCATAGAGTAAGCAGGGGAACTCCTTGTAGGTCTACTTTGAATGTCCTTAGATTATTACTTTAAAAATATTTTTTCAGCCCTCTGTTTTTAAACTAAAATTTCACTTAATTAAAGGGATCTTTCTAAAGTTCAGTGTCCTACCCATAAAGTTTTGGGTGCTTTATTAGCTGAAGGGTTACTGCGTGCCTAAGAAAGGTGAGCAACTAGCACTTGAAAACCCAGAAAGCTCATGGAAGCTCTGCTTGGCTGTTAGCTTGGTTGACTCAGCCTGAGGAAATAGCTTAGCCGTGGTGAACAATAAAACATGCAATTTGTCTTTTATATGGAGGAATAAATTGCTGTTTTTCCTCATCTGAGTCTTTGAAACCAGTGCAGAAGGTTGAGCATGTGCAGAGGGCAGGTAATAAGCTTAGTATAGTAAAACCTTTGAGATGATTGAAGTGTCTTTATAGGAAATAAATGTTTATTGTTAACTTATTGAACTGAGCAATGCATTTGTACCCAGAGAATTAAGATTTGTCTGAAGTTCGTCTAAAATTAAGTTGCCTACTTCCCTTAAGATGGTAACACATTGAGGCAAACTAGTCGTGTCAGAAGTGGATTAAATCTAATCTCAGTGAATGAAGGATTTATCCTGTACTAGCAAAGGTTTGGATGCAGATGTGGCCACAATGAAAAGGAGAGATTATTTGGTAAGAGATAGTGGTGCTAGCTCTGCAGGTAGAGAAACTTTTATTGTATAAACATTTGCACTAGGTGGCTTTGTGTATGGCTCTTCTGGTAGAGACATAGGTCAGCTATGCCTAATCTTTCTGGCTGACTAGCCCATCTATTCTTTTCATGTAGTTGCTTCCTTGCTGTGTGACTGGACTTGTTGCACGTGTGAGATAGTTAATTTGTATGAGAAAAGTAATTCCAGCATTTCCTGGAAGGAGTGGTGTTTTTTTGTTTGTTTGTTTGTTTTTTCTTTTTTCTTTTTTTAATTTGCGTGTATGGATCAGTTCTACACTCCAAACAGGCTTTTCTTCTAGGCAGGCCTCAGCTCCATGCCGAGCATGAGCATGTGGTCCGTGCAAATCATTCTTAGAGCAACAACAGTCTATTCTTGGTCACTGTCTTACCGAAATGCCTCCTACCATGGTGCAGTGTGCTTCCTTCCCTTCTTTTTTCCCATGTCCTGTGACTCAGTGGCTGCATTCCCACAACAGTTCAGGGATTCTGGTATGCCCAGGAAAAAATGGGCCTGTTTGGGCAGGTGGCTGCCAAACAAGTCATCTGAGCAGCAACCTGTTCAGAGTTGCTCTTTGGACCAAGGGCTGGGGTGAGGACAATGCATTTGGATCCATTCGTCTTGGTGGAGTATTGTAAGTGGCCTTTGGGTTCAGATTGAATGTTGATGGTGTGGACAAGCTGAGGCTTGGCATGGTTGCTGTAGCAAAGCTGATGCATAATGGGCCTTATAAGAGAAACGAGGAGCTGCATTAACTCAAGTGCAGGCTGTGATTTTCATAGCTGTGATTTTCATACTGTCCTGGAATAACACTCAGAACGTGGAAATGAGTTATGTATCCAATACTGTGCATGAGGTACATTCTGTATAGTGACTGATGCTTATCCTGAAGGATACTAGTATTAAAGTGTCTTTAATTTGAAGATTTAGAAACAGTGAGCATTAGATAAAATTTGGTATCAGTGTATAAAAATGAGTTAAAATCTGTGCTTGGGAAATTATCCTTTTTTTTTTTTTTTTCCCCAAACTTAGTTTGGCTTGTGAATTGTGTGACTTATTCTGACATTTACCTTCAAATGATAGCAGAACCTGTTCGAATAGCATACACAGAAATTCCTGTACCATAAGTGACAATGCTAGTGTGTAGAATAGAAATTTAACATTGGAAACATGCAAGTTCAATTAGAATATTATATGGTGCTTGCTCACAGTCTAAGGCCTTTCTTTTGAGTTGTTGGCGTGTGTACTGTTGTGTCACCTGCGGTTATCTAGAACACATTTTCATTGTGTTTTGAATATAATTCTTCTTCAGGTCATGGGAAAACTCCAAAAGATGCTGCTTCTGTTCGAGCTACACACCCTATACCTGCAGCCTGTGGAATATACTATTTTGAAGTTAAAATTGTCAGTAAGGGAAGAGATGGGTAAGTATTGAATGCATTATTAATTATTACTCGATCTATCAAACTTTTTTTCTTATCTCACTATTTTTAATGTAGCTTAATTCATTATTCATAACAAGTTGCATTCTGATATTTGATGGCTTTAAATTAATTGATTGTGGTATTAATTATCCAGAAATCAGTGTACGCATTGAAACTACCACAAAAGCATCATCTCTTTTTCTGTTTTGTCATAGAATTAAGATTTTAATGACCACAGTTTGAGCCTACTCATACTTCTAACCGTGTATTTTTTGACTATATGGTTTTACAGATGTTCAAAAATCTCTTAAAAAAAAAAAAAAGAATTTATAGTGTGAAACACTATAAAGGCCAACTTTCCTCCTCAGTCCCGTCTCTTCCTGGATGCCATATTAATTTTAAAAAGGAAAATTATAGCTGCATACTAGCGGACAATAATAGGAATAAAGGGAATGTTAGATGTTCTGATAGGTGGCTGTGGATTAATGACCTTATGGAAAGAACATGAGTTGATGAGCAAGTACAGCTGCTACTTCCCAGAACTGTGAATTTGAATTATGACTCTGTTAAAAGTGTAGGTGATAGTTGTGTTTAACTTTACTGAGGCAAATACCTTCCCTAGGAATATCTGCTGTGGTTCCGAAATCTTTTCTAGACCACCTTAGTTGCTTTTCATTTCTGGGGGGTTTTGTTTTGTTTGTCTTAATACAGAGACATTGATTATATTGCCTATGTAGGACTGACGTAAACAATACTTCTTTCTGATGTGCTGTAGTGTTTACTGTGGCAATATTTAAAGTTCCTGTCAGAATTACTGTTGTCCTAGGTGTACTCTACAATCATGTTGTAGATGCCAACATCCAGCTGTGAAAATAAATCTTGAGAATTATTCCAGACTGGCTCCTTGGTTAAAGTTTAGTACCTTTTCTTTGTCTTGCTGCTGTTTCTTTTCTTTTTTTTCCTCTGCGTGTGTGTGTGTGTGTGCGTGTTAGTTTTGTAAGTCTTTTCTGCTTCAAAAATAATAAGCAAACTTGTTTTAGTTTCTGTGTTGTACAGGGATATTTTGAAAGGATTATCTCAGTGCTACTGCTGCCTCATAGGGGTACATATGATAGTTTATTGTTAGTTCTGCTCTCAAAAGAGAGCCTTTGCTATGAAAATGTTATGCCTGTAATTGCTTTTATCACACTATGCTTTTAAAATGAATGATAGAAGTTATTGTTTCAAATAATATGCTGCCAATTTTAGGAATATTGTTGCAGTATTCTTTTTTTTTTTCTTTTTTTGCTGACTATTGCCAGTTAGATAGAGGTTCTTATTTTGATTTGCCTAGTGATGCACACTTGTCTGCTTTGCTTGAAAGTTAGTGTGTGCTTTTTTTGTTTTTTGTCTTTTGGGTTTTTTTGATGATCAAGTTAAATTGGTGTGCATGTCTGTAGGGGGAGAGACTGTAATTTTACGTAACTTGCCTGACACTTTACCCTTGGAGCTCTTCATTTTGCTTTAGCTGTTTCTAAGTCATGCGGGGAAATCTTACAAAAGTCTTCTGATGGAGTTATGGCGTAGAAATGGTCTCTGAATAAAACCTTTCAGGTTAGTCATTTGTGAGCTGCACATATTTGTTTAGTTTAAAAAATAGAATGATTTTTGTAATGTTAACATATACTGCTTTGTCCTTGCATCGGCCTTATGAGGTTTTTTTTTTTCACTGTCACTTTAGAGAACTGTCATTGTCTGCATAATGAGCTAATATGTCCATTTGCTCCATGATGTAAGGTAATATGGATGCTGGGGATTATTGTGCGTGGAGCCAAGGCCATATCTAGCTTAGCTGGTGATGAGCCTTAGGTGACGTATGGGCCCTCAGTGGATGAGTCTTGATGCTGTTTTCGGGTCCAAACAATCTTTGCCCAGATTCAGTGTGAACCTCTTAAGGTTCTGTGGTCTCCTGCATCCAAATTAATGAGTACTCCTGGAATAAATAAATTGGGAAATGTAATGCAGAGGCAGCCATGTAGGTCTGCAAAAGCCAGTTTGTGTCTTGCTGCTCATCAGTTCTTTCTCACTGGCTGTTGAGAACCTGCTTGGCTCCATGCACAGTTGCTCAATTTTCTTCTTCTTTGCTTTTTCCTATCTGGTAATAGGACCACAGTTTCAGAAGACCTTACTTGTATGGGGCCAGCATGTTACTAATAGAGTTAATAGTTAAAACTCATCACTGCAGCAAAAACATCTCAGGACCTAGACCTAGCCATGTAAGCTATGACTACAGCCGTATTTTGGGATATTGTTTAAAGTAATAAAACTTATACTACCAAAAGCAACCGAGATATCTGTGCAAGTGGCTCCAGTACAGCTTGTAATCCTCATAAATGCCCGCAGATAATTTAAAGCTGTTTAGTTGGTGTTTCCTTTGGTGGTGGCCTTTCTTTTTCATGAACCTGTCTCAGAAGTAAAAACCTGGCTCATCAGGGAAACATACGGACAAGTCTATCAGCATTCTTACAATGTGTGTGCTGTATTTGATGCAACTTGCTTAAATTCACCCCAAACCTCCCTAGTCTGGAAGACTTTTTTGTACTGTTGCAGTATGTTCTTGCATACCCGTAGATTGCTGAACAATTCTAAAGATGACTCTGACACAAAGAGTCCGTTTTCTTAGGTGGTTTTCAGATTGACTGTTCTTAGCTATATCTGAAAGACTGCATTAGCATTTTTTCATGCTAATAAGTGAAGTCAGTAAATTTTGTATATATTGCATGTCCTGGGGGGCCGGAATTCAATATGTGAATTTTTCAGACATTCATGATAGGCATATTCCTAGGCATATTAGGTACCCTTTGTAGAAAGCATGAAAACAGGCTTGCTGTAAAAATGGAGGTTGATGGATGTCAGATAGAGGTGAAAGTTGCTTTTTGATGCTAAATAAAAGTTCCTGGGGATACCATGCAACAACTACTTGTAACAAACAAGGAAAAGGGAAGTGAGAATGAAGCTGAAAAGCAGTAAGGTTCAAATATCTTTGACACAGACACCATCTTGGTATTCGTATGGTATTCAGCACAAAAGGTCCTAAGGTCCTTTCTCTGCTGCTGCTGCAATACAGATATGTGAAATAATTGTTTTAGGAATTTTAAAAAAAAATCTTACATGTGTTACCTAGTTGTCATGTTGCTCTGTAAATATTTTTTGTTTTTCTGTGTTTTTTTCAGTTTTCTTCCTTAATTTTTTGCCTCATTTTGCAGTCTGAGGACCTCTGTTTATATTTTCCTTTTATACTGTTTTTTAATATTCTATTCTGTTTTGCCTTTTTTGTTTGTTTGTTTGTTTGGCCTTACGTGGAACACTGCGAACAGGCATTTGAGCAATAAGAGATGGGAGCAGTAGATGAGAAATGGGTGTAGGTATAGGGGAAAAATACAAAGGTGATGCCGATTAAAAGGCATAGTAGGAAGAACCAAAGTAACTGCAAATTATATCCTGTTTGCTATTGGTACCTGCAGTTAACCAAAATCAAGCATGTCTGTCAAAGCAGAGAGTATGGCAGCAACTATTATCAAAATAGTCTATATAAGTGGAGAAACTAAACATAGCTGTAGCTTTAATTTAAACTTTTTAAAGTTCCGTATGTACTCTACAATTGTTTTATGACAGAACCAGAAGTAACATGCAAAGATTTTCTTCTGTAATTTCTTAGTAGATTGCTCAGGGGAATGAAATGGGCATCGTATCGAGTTTTCCCCGCCATCCTTCCTTTTTTTCATCTAAGTTTCTAGGGTAGGAGCCAATTAGTTAAGCTCACCAATGATTGGCGATCTAGGAATTGAAATGAGTGATTATGTGCTAAGTTTTGTAGAGGTGTAGGTGTCTTAAAACTTTAGTGTCTAACACTGTTGTAATCCTGAAGTTACTTACCCTCCTTTCCCCCAAATGACTATGGTGGCCATTCTCCTGACTAGGTAGGTCTGTGTGTCTTCAGCCATGGCGATAGCTTGTGAATGTTTGCAATACTTGCTCTTAGCTGCAGTTTAAACACTTTGTGGTTATTTGGCCACAAGAATTAGTCTTCGAACATTTGTTCGTTTTGTGCCAGTTCGTAACTTATGCCAGGTACACAGCAAATCAGAATGGATAGCTTACTCTCCAAGAGTGATTTAAAAGCGAGTTATTTTTCAGTCACGTTACTTCTCCAGTATGGCTCTTTGTGTGCCTTTGTGGGTGGCTCTGGCAGCATGAGAGGAGCGTGGGGCCAGAATGAGCATCTGGACTCTGATAGTGGGAATGCTAGCTTTGCTCATGGTACCAGCTTGTGTCACTAGGGTTAGCTAAGTACAGCTTTTCAGCTTTTTAAAAAAAAAAAAAAATCTTTGAGAAAAGATTCGCTGGTATCCATTTCCTTTACTGGGAAAGTGAACTCTTTAGGAAAATGCCTTTGTCTTCAGTGTTTTGTATTTCTCTCCATTCTTTGCACTGTTCATTTATTTGTAAAGGCAATTACTAGCAATGGGCAAATCACAGAAATGACACTCATTTCTGGGTGGTCTATACTGCTTTTAGAGCAGGTGTGGAAAATGTGTGCTTAAAGTCCAAAGTGCTCTAAGCAGGTGCTCTTTTCTCAAGAGAATGAAAGCAAGCTCTGAAAATGGTCTAGAAAAGAAGTAGAGGTTTAGCAAGGCTTTCATCATCTAGCAAGCAGTACTTGGAATAGCTTACATTTCTGTGAGCACCCTTGTTTAGTCTGTAGCTGGTCATATTGGTGCAGATTTTAATGGGTATGCTTTATATTATGTGTGCAAGTTCTGCTAAATGTTCTATGCCAAAATAAATTGTTAGTTCAGCAACTCGTGCAACTTCCTGGCTTTAGTGAAAGCACAGTAAATAAGGCTTTACATACCTTTTGGATAGCTGTGGGGTGGTTTTTTTTTTGGTTTTGTTTTGGTGTTTTTTTTTTTAAGCTGACCATACCATCAGTTGTTTGCTGCTCTGGCAGGGCTCAGCAA